GGGGAGGGGGGGGGGGGCGGGCGGGGGGGGGGGGGGGGAGCCGGGGGCTGGGGGGGTCCTGGAGCACGGGGGGTCCGGGGGGCGGGGGGGGGTCTCAGGGCAGGGATGGGTCCCAGGGCAGGGGGGTCGTTCCTGGGACAATGGGGGCGTCCGGGATAGAGGGGGGGTCCTGGGGAAGGAGGTGTCTCTGGGATATGGGGGGCACCCGGGCCGGATGGGGGGTTCCAGAGGCAGTGGGGGACCCAGAGACAACGAGGGTCCCGATGCGGGGGGATTCCTGGAGCAGGGGGGATACGCGGGTCCGGGGGGGTGTCCCGAGCCCGGGGGGCTCCCCGGGGGGGGAGTTGGGCCCTTCGGGGGCTCCCCGGGGCCGGGGTAGTCCCCGGGTCGGGAGGGGGTGTCCCAGGATGGGGGGGGTCCCGGGGCATGGGGGGTCCGAGGTAGAGGGGTCCGGGGGCAGTGGGGTCCCAGGTCGAGGTGGTTGTCCCAAGGCAGGGGGTCCCCGGTGCCGGGGGGTCCCCGAGCGGGGCCGGCAGAGCCGGTGCGGGCGCGTTGCTGGGGCTGCACCGCCCCGCCGTGGCCGCGGCCACCCCTGCAGGGACCGGGACGGGGGTCCCGCGGTTCTCACCCCGGGGGTGGCCCCTGGAGACTGGTGGGGGGGTTTGGAGGGGACCCACGGGAGGGACTGGGGGGGCGCGGGGGCGATGTCACCGGGTCCTTGTCCCCGCAGGGTCCTTGTCCCCGCCGAGCTCAGCTGGGAGGATGGGACCGGGCTGTGGCGATGGACCCGGGCTGACGGGGCGGATCCTGGTTTATATGGTGGGTCCCGGTTTATGTGGTGGATCCCGGGCGATGGGATGGATCCTGGGTGTTCTGGTGGATCCTGGTTTATGAGATGCATCCCAGCCGGTGTGGTGGATCCCGGGTGTCACGATGGATCCCGGCTGAAGTGGTGGAAGCCACCGGACAGGATGGATCATTGGTGATGTGGTGGATCCTGGCTGCAGTGGTGGATCCTGGGAGTTTTAATGGATCCTGGCTACAGTGATGGATCACTGGTGATGGGGTGAATCCTGGCTGCAGTGATGGATCATTGGTGATGTGGTGGATCCTGGCTGCAGTGATGGATCCTGGGAGTTTTAATGGATCCTGGCTCACACGATGGCCCCTGGCTGATGTGATGTGTCCTGGCTCAGGTGACGGATCCCTTCACATCCCTTCTCCAGCACTGTTACTGCCATGTCCAGCAGTAACCAAAGCATTGAGTGACCCAACTGTGTCCTTCCCAGGCCATGTCCCCTCTGTCACCCCATCAGGGCCACGGGGGTGCCCAGGCTCACCCCCAACCATGTCCATGCTCTGGCACTGCTGCCACACCCTCCCTCCCAGGCCAGGCATGGAGCAGGAGTCCAAAGTTCTGGATGTGAGCTGATCCCATTCCAACACCTCTGCAGGAGGGAAGGGTGCCCAGGGCTGTGCCCAAACCCCCAGTGGGTCTGGGGGGAGGAACATGGACCCTGGGCAGACTCACGTGGCTCTCCAGCCTCACATCCGAGGTAAACACTCAGTGCTAAATTAGACTTGAAAAAATAAATTTATAACCCTTGGTTTCATCATATTCCTCCCCAAATCCTCAGCCAGGCAGAGCTCAGAGCTGGCTGAGCTCTGAGACCCCCAAAGGACAGGTGCCCATGAACTTCGTGGCTCAGGGGTTGATGCTGGATCACAGTTTGGCTTCAAACCTTGGGCAGAAATGGTGTCAAAGTCCAAATCAACTCTTGCTGAATTTAACCTCAGGGGTGGGAACAGACTAATCCCAGTGTGGGGTCACAGGGTGCTGAGCCCTGCTGAGGGTGGGACCGTGGGAAGGGTCAGCACGGTGCAAACACTCCCAGAATCAAACATTTCCATGCACTGAGCCAAAATAAGTAATTCCTGGTGAAATGGGAAGCTTCTTCCCCTCCATCCGTTGGCCACATGTCACCCTGTTTGTACAAGTGCTCAGACTCACTGGGATTCCCCAAACAGACCCTCTGGAAAAGGGTTTTTAAGTCCAGCAGCCACCCAAGTGCAGCACAGGGACAGGGATGGTCCTGGATGCTGAAAATGGGGGAAAACTGGTGGGAAAGAAAGGCCAGTTTTGGGGGCTCTGTTCACACGGGATGAAATGC